AAAAGAGTTTGTTAAATTCCTTACAAGTTCCTGTACTACACTTTGGATTTCATTTTAGTCCCTTGTTTGAAAAATGAGCAAATCAGTTCATTTATATACAAAAATCATTTTCTCACGTCATTTAATCCGAAAAAACATACCCAAGTATACAGAAATTTTAAGAGAGAGATTAATTATTATTTCACTCTTCTCTGTAAAGCACGTGGATTAGTTTGATCATTTTTTAAAATAAGGGATTAAAATGTAAATTCAAAATATAATAATACTTTTACCAAAAACGATGTGGGAAAAAGGTAGATAGGAATATTAATTTAATTGGATGCGTTGGATTTAATGGTATTTTCCCAATTGGTAGTCTCTATACGGAGACGAGGAGATGTCCACCAAAAATTGCCAAACTTGGAATTCTTTTATTTGACTGTGATCTTCTTATTATTTATCAAGACGTGAAGCGATTGAGAAACAAAACTAGTGGTTTAGTCCAATTTAATATTAACATAAATGGACAGTCAAGTTAAATTAAGATCGTGTTTAGATTAGCAACAATATAAGGTGGAGTTGGGCAATGAATAGTGTCAATTTCTGTTGATGTTCAAAACTTCAAAGGGGCTGCTGCGTACCAAATGAAAATTGGAACAAAAGAATCGTATTCTAGGCGGTTAGACTTCTAAGTCGGCCGTTCCATTGTCACCTGGTCAGCATATTGTAAACCACGTTGCATCATACCCCTTGCCCTTTTTCATTGGGTTTATGTTGATTTTAATTAACACTAAATCTAAGTTTAATATCAAATAAAACTCATCAAACGATTTTAATAATAAAAAAGTTATTTTTATTAGAGATCTTAAATTCGAGTAAAACCGTTCATAAAATATGCACGTTATTTAAATATATATATATATATATATATATATATATATATATATATATATATATATATATATATATATAATAGTCTCAAACATAAGACATTTGAATTTTACATAACTCCACCTATAATAATGTATTTAGGCTGCATATCACGTTTATCTTTCATATGCATATCTGTCTTTTATTCCATTTTAATATAATATTGGATATGGTTCAGAAAAATGATATACACGTGTTGCCCATAAACGCTCTTCAAACAACACGTCCCCCAAGCATGCAATAGCAATAGCAATAGCAATACGCACAAATCTTTTGGCCATTTTAGGTTTTCTTTTGAGCCATTTTTGTTCATGCCGCTTTATTATCACTCCAAATTAATTATGCGATGGATGAAACAAAAATCCTTTTATGCTTATTTATATTGATAATTAATATCTCGAATTATTTTATATATAATTATATTCAAAATTATAAGTATATAATATCTTTATCACAATAACTAATCATTATAGTGAGAACGTGTCGGTTTATTTCCTATTTATTTTTTTTATCTATCGTTTTCTATTAATAAAGGAGTAGATAAAAAAAAAGATGGGAGAGATCGGATTTGGCTCTTACATCTTAACCACATACTGATTTAACGATAAAATCTCCTCTAAAAATTGAGGATTGCTAAACGATGGAAACTCTAAATTTGGTTTGAATGGTGATGAACAGAAGGAAATATAAAATCAGCACAATCCCAAAAGCATTGTGTTTCTATTTCTTTTCTCCTTCCTAAATTTCTATGACAACATAAGAGGGGTGTCTGGATTTCATACAGAACTTCCCCCTTGGCCAGCATGTTGGCGTCTCTCATTGAGAAGATACCTATGAAACTGCAGGTTCCTGTGGAGTATATATGGTTCCTCTTATTTCTTATCGCCCTCCTCGCAGTGGCAGGCACTCGCAACGCTACGATGAAAGAGTCTCTTTGTAACATCCTACACTAGTACGACACACAGTCGATCGATAAGAGTGTCACACGGGACCACCGAAGTGATTAACCAAAAATTTTCTTTGACATGTTTCCATAAAATAATATTTACTGGTAGACATTCATAATAAAATAAATAACAACGTTATACAAACAATTTACGCTCGGGAGCTCCCATAAAATAATTAGACAAAATATACATACAATCTTTTAAAACAAGTAATGACTCGAGTATACAAAACAATAAATTTGAATATACATGCCCTCTAAAAGACTCGAGACGTACTGTGCTCTGGATCAAGGTCTAGATCACTGCTGGTCAACAGGCTCCCCTACGATTCTTCATCTAATCTGCGTAAGGAAACAAATTTCAAACACTGAACTAACAAGCCTAGTGCCACGCTAACAACTAAATTATACTAACATAGATCATTTATAACACGCTCAAATAATTGAATAAGAGTGTACAATGAAACTATCTAAATTCCAACATTAGTGAGTATCTTTGCGATACCCACTCTTTATACTATGGTAGATATCATGGTGCGGTTGAGGGATTTTTGCATCTCGGAGCTCACGCACCCCTCTAGTCTATAGAGGATGTGGCCCCTGGAAACTCTACATCGAACACCACATCCGCTGACTAGCCCACCCCTTGCAAGTGTTGGACCTTACGCCCTAACTAGTCAGATTTTAAGGGCCTTGCGCTCTACCTAAGGATATATCCAGGCTGTATCTATACTTTCGACACCCTAAACTAAAGAAAATCGGGTGTTCGAATCATTTCCCCGAGCATCAAACAAGGCTAGTCTTATTTGTCCCTATTTTATTTTGTTTTTACGTTCGATTTACATTTTATTATTGTTCTCACTTGTAGTCTTATTTTGGAGTTATTACAGAATTCTTGGGAAAACCTCACTTGCCTCTGTAATTCTCCTTGCTTAAAAGTCTAAAACATACCCTTGGTATTGATACTAGCCTTACAGTATAGATACCCACTCTGCAGTATTGATATCCCTATTAACTATTTCATCCATTGCAACCCAACTTTAAACACCTTCTCTTGCACTTATTCTAGTGTTTTACCTATTCGATACCATTTATGGTCATACTATGGGTCTAAGGTCTTCTGGGCAACGTTTTGGACAATTTTTGACATTTTAGGAAGGGGTTTCGAAACCTCTAAGGATGGTTTTGAAACCTCTCTGACAGAATGTCATTATGGACAAGGGGTTTCGAAACCAACCCAAGTGTTTCGAAACATTGTAGATTTCATTTTTTTTCACTCGAGAAAACTCTCCAACACACTCTCAAAGTCCATAATTTTCTACCTTGAGGTTTCCCAATTATTATTAAAGTTTTATGTGATCATATGAGTAAAAAATAAGGCTTTATAACATGCTAATAATACTAAAATACAAAATCACCATGGAAATCATCATATCACGCTCTATCTAACTTTCAAGCAACTACTACTTCCTTAATGACCTACAATAAGCATAAAAGAGTTATAAGTGTGGATACCTTGTGTTCTTGGCTAAATGCAAAGCTCTAATCACTTTAATGGAGCTTTCTCTTTTCCATTAACTTTTGAAGTTTCTCCTACCTCTTTCACTATTCAATGTTAAGAAAATGAAATTTTAAATGAACCAAAATGATGTAAATAAGATTGTAAACATTTCTTAAAACTTAAAGCTATCAAAGAAACTTGGAATCAAATTCTATTGAGCCTCCCCAAAAACCCATTTTAAAACTATGGTAAAAACTTACAAAATAAGTCTTATATTAAAGTTTGAAGAATGGTTATTCAAAATCTTACCTTAGTTTAACCAAAATGAAATGAAATGCTTAGAAAACAAGATAGATTTGAGATGGAAGAGGAAGAGAAATGAAAAATGCTAGAAGGAATAATGAGAATAGTATTTGGTAAGATTTTAGGGGCTTTGGTTCACGTGAATCTAATATAAAATGAGGGGGGAATTTTCATCTTCAACAAATTGGGTAAACTACACTTTAGGTCTTTACATTTTCAACCCTAATAATTTCACCACCTTCTATAAACTTCTTGGGCCAACTCAGCCCAATTCCAATTAAACTTGGTCCAAACCATCTTAATACATCTTTTGGGCTCTAAAATGGGTCTCGGGTTGACCCCAACTATTGATATGGGTTTCGGGGTGTTACACTCTCATTTAGTTGTTAGGTAATTTATTTCCTGTTTGTTTAGTTGGTTATATTAACGGATTAAAAGTTTTCAATTTTTTCTTTGAATAGATGTATCCCGTATCGATATAAGAAAACGAACGAAATAGATTCGAATGATGAAATGATCGAAGTACTTGTGATCAATGCACAAAATGGGAAAGATGTGTTATTCCCCAAAGGTGGCTGGGAACATGATGAATCCATGGAAGAGGCAACCGTTCGAGAGACGCTCAAAGAAGTCGGTGTTGTCGACAATATTGAAGTTAATGTATCTTATATAAATTCTTCATTTACAACATTTCTTGTTATTCCTCAATTTTAACCCCTACAATTTGGATGTACTTCGTTTTAATAGGGCAAACTAGGGAAGTGGTAGTATGAGAGCAAGAGACAAGTATTGTCCATGAAGGCCACATGTTTCCTATGCTTGTCTAGTAAGAATTTGACCTTTGGCCTGAGAAAAACATCTGGACAAGGAAATGGGTATGTAAGAAATGCTAGGTTGTGATCGCAATTGTTGGACAAACAAGCATTACACCGAACATTTTAAATTAATTTGAATCTAATTGTATACTTAGGTAACAATATCTAAAGGTCGAGAAGAATGCCCCTATTTGTGGATGAGGGAAGCTTTAGAAGAGTTGGTTTCCCGCCAGCAAATGCAGCATCGGACACATGAGGAAGTTGATCGAACAAATTGTAAGTGACCAACTTTCTATTTTATATAGTAAACATGCATGGGGTGGTGTTTGTTTCATTGAATTTGTGAGATATATAACTCAACCTAGCATGATCAACGTCATTGTTGCATAATAAAAGCTGCTTTCATTTCAGGATATATGTGCAAACAATCAAACATCTTTCTCTTTTATTTTATTTTTTGTAAGTACAAATTGTATTCATTCTTTGAGTTTGATAGAAATATGAAGATCCCAAATCCATATTGAGTTCAATTAATATCGAAAAAACCGAAGATTAATCCTTGTCTGAATTTAATATTTTTCTGTGAAGAGACGAAAGTCGAAATACCGGAGAAGATAAGATATGTTATCCCACCCAAGAAGCCGACGATAGTCCATGGTTGACTAAAATGGGTGTAAACCATGCAATATAGTCGAGCCAAGTAGGGGGTCAACGGAACCGATGGTGCTACTCGCCTCTCTCGACACCGTCAGGTTTTTTTCTCCGCAAGCGCTCGAGTAGATAAGCGCAATCGTCCTGCCCGTCTTCAGTGCTGAGGCTCTGTTGCGAAAGACGACTATCGGATAGAACAAAATCACAACCGATAATTTGATAAAATAAAAATGAAGATAAAAGAGACACAAAATTTACATGGAAACCCCCTAAATAATATAGGGTAAAAACCACGGGCAACGGTAGAAGAATTTCACTATGAGAAAATAGGAATTACAACTTCTCTCGATCTACCAAGGATAAAACAATGATAATTATCTCTTGATAAAAATGAGAAAACAACTCTCAAGAAACTCTTTAAATTCTCTAGTATTGGGAGAAAGCTAGAAGGATTTGGGATGATTTTGAAGCTAAATGGGTTAGTGTATTTATAATTGAAGCTTAAGGACAAATCTTGTAAATACTCTAAAGTTGTAATGACTAAATTTACAATTATACCATATAAAAAATTCAACAATTTCCACTTGCACCTTTCGATGCATTAATACATACAACTTTCGGTGTAAGTTGCACCAATTTTCAACAATCTTCCACTTGAAGATTTGATTGGAACAATCATATCTTCACACCATTCTTCTATATTGTACCATCATGTTGCTTACGTATCTGACAGGCCACAAGAGGATCGACACCAGGTAAATTTATCAACGTTGATCGCCTTCGTCATGAAATCTGCTATGTTGTCTTTGGTATGGATCTTCTGCATATCTACTGTCCCTTCTTCCACCTTTTCACGAATAAAATGGTACTGAACTCGTATGTGTTTTGTCCTTGGATGAAATGCTGGATTCCTTGCTAGATGCAAGGCGCTTTGACTGTCACAAAATAGAGAGACATACTTTTGATTGTGCCCAAGCTCCTCCAATAGCATCTTCAACCAAATTGCTTCTTTACTGGCTTGTGTAGCTGCTACATATTCTGTCTCTGTTGTGGATGTAGCCACAATTGACTGTAATTTTGAAACCCAGCTTACAGCTCCACCAGCAACTTTGAACATATATCTTGTAGTAGATTTGCTTTTATCCAAATCCCCTGCATAGTCAGAATCTACATACCTATTGATTAGTAAGTTTGATCCTCCATAACATAATGCAACATTTGAGGTCCCTTTGATGTATATCAGGATCCTCTTTACTATATTCCAATGCTCATTGCTTGGATTCGCCATGTATCGACTAACCATTCCCACTGCTTGTGCAATGTCTGGTCTTGTGCATATCATAGCGAACATTAAACTTCCCACTACTGATGCATACGGTACTCGAGACATCTCCATCCTCTCTTCTTCACTGCTAGGACTCATACTGGAGGATAATTTGAAGTTAATAGGAAGAGGGGTATAAATTGGCTTACAATCTTGCATGTTGAATCGTGACAAGATCTTCTTCAAGTAATTATTTTGTGAAAGCCAAATCTTCCTATTACTTCTGTCTCAGTGAATTTGCATCCCTAGAATCTTGTTTGTTGATCCCAAGTCCTTCATTTCAAATTCCCTAGTTAGTTGTGCATTTAATTCTTCAATATGATCTTTGTTGGGTCCTGCAACCAACATGTCATCCACATACAACATCAATATAACAAAATCATTATCACCAGACCTCTTGAAATAAGCACAAGGGTATACATTAAGTCTGTTGTACCCAAGACACATAATGAAGGAATCAAATCTCTTATACCAACACCTCGGCGCCTGCTTTAGACCATACATAGATTTGTTCAACCTGCAAACCAAGTTCTTCTTTTCTTTTTCTTCAAAACCTTAGGCTGGAGCATGTAAATCTCTTCTTCAAGATTTCCATGAACAAAAGCTGTTTTAACATCTAGTTGCTCTAGATGTAAGTTCAATGTATCACATATTGCCAAAACTACTCGAACTGTTGTTAGTTGAACCACGGGAGAAAAGATTTCATTGAAATCAATACCTTCTTTTTGAGCATATCCTTTGACCACCAATCTTGCACGATACCTCTCCACTTGATCGTCACCATTTCGCTTGATTTTGAAGACCTATTTGTTACCAATTGGCTTCCTTCCTTGTGGTAGTGGCACAAGGTCCCATGTATTATTTTTATGAAGGGCTTCAATTTCTTCTTGCATCGCCATCATTCACAGTGCATCATCTGAGTTGTTTATTACTTCCTGGTATGTTGATGACTCACCGTCCTCTGTTAAAAGGTAGTATGCAATATTTCCTTCTATAACATAATCTGAGTGCCAATTGAGACGTCTTCTCACACGATCTGATTGACGAGTTGTTGGAGCTTCAGAACTCTCTGATTCTTGTTCATCATGTGATGGTTCTACTTCATAAGAATCTCATTGTTCAAACTCTTTTTCCATATGTATCTTTGTAGTCTCTGACTTTTCAGTGTTACCATCTTATTCTTTTCTTTGTAGCTTATCTTCTATAAAGATAACATTCTTGCTAATGATCACTTTGCGGGCAGTGGGATCCCACAAGTGATACCCCTTTACACCATCAGCATACCCCAAGAATTTGCATTTCCTGGATTTTGGATCCAACTTTGAAATTTCTTGGGAGTTGTACATCACGTACACAATACTTCTAAATATATGGAGGTTTGAATAATCAGTTGGTTTACCAGTCCACATCTCCATTGGTGTCTTCAGCTCTATTGCAGTTGATAAAGCTCAATTTACCAAATAACGACGGTATTGACTGCTTCTGCCCAAAATGATTTTTCTAGGCCTGCAGCTCTCAACATTGTTATTGTTCTCTCTAACAAGGTTCTATTCATCCGCTCTGCCACTCCATTTTGTTGAGGAGTGTTCACCACTGTGAACTGTCTTTTGATGCATTCTTTTATGCAAAAGTCATCAAATTCTTCACTTGTGTATTCTCCTCCATTATCTGTTCTGAAACACTTGATCTTATTTCCAGAATCAAGTTCCACCCGCGCTTTGAAGTTTTTGAAAGTTGAAAACACATCTGACTTCTTCTTAATAGGGTACACCCAACATCACCTAGAGTAGTCATCAATAAATGAGACAAAATATTTTGCTCTACCTAAGGATGTAACTGATGCTTGCCATACGTCATAATGAACCAATTCTAGAAAACTTTTGCCTCTAGAATTTGACGTGTTGAATTTTAACTGGTATTGCTTACTTGTCAAGCCTGGAAGTAGTTTTTGCTGCACAATGACTTTCATTCCTTGTTCTGACATGTGTCCAAGTTTCTGATGCCATAACATTGTAGAATCTGAACTACATAAGGCAACAGAGGCTTCTGCTTCTAGCAAAGTTTATCCCTTCAGCATGTATAAGTTTGTTGCTATTTTTTCACCTTTCAACACCACAAGCGCTCCACGGAACACCTTCATGATTCCTTTTCGTGTTTCAATCTTGCTTGCATTATTATCCAACAATTCGTAGGATAATAAATTTTTCTTCAGGCCTTTCACGTATCGCACATCTCGAACAACTTTAATTGTTCCATCATACATCTTCAATTTGATGGTTCCCACACTAAAGATCTCTAAGGCATGATCATTGCAACTATACACAGATCTTCCTGAGACGAGTTCATAATGATGGAGTCATTCTCTTCTTGAGGTCATGTGATATGTTGCTCCCGAATCAATGAGCCATATATATGCATATATCTTTCTACCTTCCACGGTGGTTAACATAGATCGTCTACATCATCTGAAGTGTTTGCGGTATTGCCTTGTGGATTGAAGTTTTTATTTAGACTCCAACAATCCTTTTCAAGTGATCTTTGTTTCCACAGTTGTAGCACTTTAAAATTTTCTTGTTTCTCAACTTTGATCTACCATGTTTGTGACTGCTATTTTGGTCACGTTTTGTTGATCTCCCTCTCATCGTTGTCAATGCTTCTGCTTGTTGTAGATTTACTTGTCTGTCTTCCTTGTTCTTGCGCCGATTTTTTTTCTTGTAGAACAGTTGCTACAACGTCATCGAAGACTAGACTGGTGACATTATTGTTTGTCAAGTTGATGATGAGTTGATCATACGAATCAAGTAGACTTTGAAGTAGAAGTTCAGCACGTTCTTGTTCTTCTATTGTACATCTAAGGATGTAAGCTGAGAAAATAACGTGTTCAGTGTGTTTAAGTGCTCCGTCACTGAAGTAGATTCTGACATACGGAGAGTGTACAATTTCCTCTTAAGGAAAATTTTATTGTGCAACGATGTGGCCTCGTACAATTTGGTGAGATGATCTCATATCTCCTTAGTTGTTTTCTTCTCCTCGATGCTTGATAATACTTCATCTGCTAATGCTAGATGAAAGTTTACCATAACATTCCCGTCTATTTCGATCCATTTGTTGTCATCTGTGAAATCTACCGGCATTTCACTAATAGCTGCTAGACATCCGTCTTTCCTCAGGATGACATTCATCTTCAATTTCCACAATGAGAAATTTCTCTCATTGAATTTTTCAATATCAAATTTCGTTGCCATAGCTTCTATTACGAATAGCTCCCACTATTTCACTATCGTGAATAGTTCTCTAGAACCTTCAAAGAATGGGTAATACCTTCTTACTTTCTTATGTTGGAGGATCCATCTTTTGGTGGTAACCACAAAGACAATAAGCATATATTACACACTCAAATCTGGCTCGGATACCAATTGTTGCGGAAGACGGCTATCGGATAGAGAAAAATCGCAACCAATAATTTGAAAAAATAAAAATGAAGATAAAAGAGATACAAAATTTACGTGGAAACCCCTAAATAATATATGGTAAAAACCACAGGCAACGGTAGAAGAATTTCACTATGAGAAAATAGGAATTACAGCTTCTCTCGATCTACCAAGGAGAAAACAATTATAACAACTCAAGAAACTCTCTAAATTCTCTAGTATTAGGAGAAAGCTAGAATGATTTGGGATGATTTTGAAGCTAATGGGTTAGGGTATTTATAGTTGAAATTTGAGGACTAATCTTGTAAATATCTTAAAGTTACAATGACTAAATTTGCAATTATACAATATAAAAAATTCAACAATTCCCACTTGCACCTTTCGGTGCATTAATACTTGCAACTTTCGTTGCAAGTTGCACCAATTTTCAACAGGCTCTGCTGTCCACTTTGTATATTAGTCAGGACGTTATCCGCTATGAATTTTGTGATCGAGTCTTTCCATTTTTTGGGTTCCTTGGTTGAGTCGATCAAAATCTGGAGGACTCCGTAAGGAAGTTGGTTTTCCAGCATGAACAGATCAACTGGTGCAAATACGAGACGAACTGCTTTGGTTTTTAGTTTGCCAAACTTACGTTCGACGCCGTAGTGTATGGCGAATAACAGCACTGACCCGTCAACGACGAACATCTGAGATAACTCATCATCAGCGTATTGCTCTATATCTTTCGGATCGTAATATCTCCTCAGATCATTTACCTCTGCCTTGATCTTGTTAAACAAAGATTGGACAGTCGTTTCATTCTCCTCTGATGAGAATCTGAGCTTGGTCTTCTCAGCTCGCTCCAACCTGTGTCGGATAAATATATTTACATATTTATACATGTGAAAGCATAAAACTTTATAGTAAGTTTAAAATCAAATATGATATAAAAATAAAGTTATTTTATTTAAAAATACTTGTTTATAAATATACAATACCTTTGGCTGCGATGATGCAAAGGACCGAGGGCTATCAGCTTTGGCTCAAAATATTTCTGAAAATCCGTCTCGATACCTATCAGAACGGATGAAACTCTTTGTATTAATTATTTGGCTCTTTGGGAGCCTATCTCGATTGCGAGGAATCCAGATGACGAGCAACCAGTTGGATACAAAGAGTCAAAGGGAGATCAAAGGGAGGATATGATATGGGAAAATGCTTTAATTTATTTCTAAGCGATTAACACGTTGAGTTGGATAAAGTTATAAAAGTCGAATCAGATGTATTGGAAATGGACTTATCTGATGGTTGCAACTTCTGCATGATTAAGAATCCAAAGATTTTGGTTGAGATTCCTTATTACTACTGATTGAAATTGACCTGAAATGTTAGTGTGTATTGAATATGAACTGAAAGAAATAATATATAATTTGATGATCAAATCAGAGTTAAAGAGTAATTATTCGAATTATAAAAATATATGTGAGAATCAGACTGGACACTATTACTATATGTTGTTTTGTTAATAGTTTAGTCGTTTACTCTTCTTTTTGTATATAAAATATCACATATTATCATACAAAATTATTTAGAGATGAGTTCAACTTTTTAGTTTTACTAATCAAATTAATTCACTTTTAAAGAATTATTTAAAATAAATAAAAATTTCAAAATTATGACATGTTTTCAAATGAATCGGACTCAATATTATAAAATTAAAATATGAAGGTTGAATTTTACATTTCAAAATTGTATAGGGTTCGAAGACATATTTAAACCAAAAATGTTGTATATAAACTGTACCCCCCCCCTTGCTTTGCCGTAGACCTAAAACGTTTTTGACGGTCTCTGTTGTTCTTCGAGATAGTGGGAAGCTGCCACAAGCCCACAATGCCCACCGTAAGTGTCGGAAGGGATCGTCTTTTCGCTGCTCTCGGCAGATCATACAGTGAGTTTCTAAATCAATAACCTCATATTTTCCTTTTCTTCATCTAATTTCATTTTAGCCTCTAACGGAAGTAAAAACAAAATTCCTCAGCTCAAGAAGAGTTTGAAGATCTGTGTTTCAGTTTCGGGATTGAACTTGATGATGTGGTGAGTGTATTCTTACGCTTTTTCATTGGAAAACCGTGGGTATCTATGATTTTTTTGAAGAATGTTTTGCTATTGTGAACCAGACTACGGAGAAAGCGGTAATTTCGAAAGAGAAGCATTTGGAGGAGGAAAAACCTTGTGCTGACGATGAAATTATCTACAAGATTGAAGTACCTGCTAACAGGTTTCTGCGCTTATCTCTATAAAATTTTGTTTGTTAGTTCGATAGAAATTTACCACGTATTGTTGTTCGAAACTGGCTACATTACACCTTATAGCAATTTGGTAGCTTCTTGAATGTTGCTTATGAATTTACTCTTAATTTTATTAAGAACATCGGTTTAGTAACTGTTAGATTCCTTTGCAAAAATAGTTTCAATTTTAATTTAATCTAGTTGCGGTGACATGGAAATTGGAGAGAATTACGAGGAACATATCATAATTGTACTCATGTTTTTAGTTTGAAGTTTAGTTTAATAATAAAGAAGTATTGATGAAGGTTTTCTTTACAGGTATGACTTACTTTGTTTGGAAGGGCTTGCACAAGCCCTTCGCATTTTCAATGGGCTGGAGAAGATACCCAGATACACAGTTGCAAAGATTAGTAAGGAATCGATGCATAAAATGCATGTGAAAAAGAGGTAATTTTGAAGGTTGAAAAATTGGTTTTCACATTCTTTAGGATGTTACTGATACCTTATTCATTTCCTTATGTTTGCAGACATCTCTAATCCGGCCCTTTGTTGTTTGTGCGGTTTTGAGGGGCATAAATTTTGATGAAGCTAGCTATAACAGCTTCATTGATCTCCAGGATAAGCTGCACCAAAATATTTGCAGGTAACGTTATTAAACTAGTAAATCTGTCTGCTTACGTTTTCCATATAACCTATGTTTGTCGTCTGCCTATTTCTGATCTAATTTGAACTTGCAAAACAAATTTGCATGAGCTGTAAAGATATGATTGATTTTAATCTCTGATGGCAAAGGGGAATATTTACATGCATTCATCAAAGTCTGAGTGGCTATAGTTTAGTTTCAGTGCTTGGGGGAATATATAGCTTATTACAGTTTGGGTTGGACCTTTGTCGAGATGACATGGAGGGGTGAAAAGTAAGAAGAGGAAGCAAATTGTGCACATATTTTCATATAAAGCAATATTTATCAGTTTCTTCTTCATGTTTAGAAATTTAATAAGTGAGACTTACATGGGAAGTTATGTTAGGTCCAGTGGCATCTGCACTCAGCTGCTGAAATGAGCGTCTTTTGAATTGGGCGTCCATTTAGAATTATTCCAGCACAGAAACTGATACTCCCTCCCAATTGGATAGTAGGATTCTTGCTCCTGAATTTAAATTTAAAGTATATTTGACAACACTTTACCTTTGAAATGATTTTAATGAAGACAAAGAAGACTCTTGTTTTGTCACAATAATTAAAAATGACAAGTCTAGAAAGAATTTTCATTTCTGAAAAATGGAAGTGCCAAAAGAGGAAATAATTCCTAAATCTATTTTTTTACTTCCATTTTTGACTACTTAAGTGTTGATGTCTTTGAAACTTTCTAAACATAAGCAACCGATTTTTATTGTTCAAAGGTTTCACCTTTTTTTTAAGTTGTCCTACATAAATTTACTTTATTGGTTCAGGAGGCGGACCTTAGTTGCTATTGGGACACATGACTTGGATACATTACAAGGGCCTTTTACATATGAGGTGGGCTTCCTAACAGTATAATTCATATTTTACTAATATAATATTTGACAATTGTTTATGGATTACTAAAATGGTTGCCATACAAATAGTTGAAGATGCTTTAGAACCTCTGTTGAAGGTCAAACCTTGAGGGGAAAGGGCAGCTGCAGCCCAAGGCTGAAATCCGCTGCCTATTGTTAATTTGGTAAACTAGCAACCTGTGCGGTAGATAAGGGATCTTTTCTTATTTTTGTTGACTAGCAGAGGTGTATTTTTTATTTGTTTATTTATTTTGTATCAACCCAGCTGTCAATTGTCAAATTGGTAATGTTAGCAATAATTGCTTTTCTCTGTCTTGTTTAATTGAAGTTTAATTGTTGCTATTAGTATAGTTTGCTTAAACTTCTTTGCTTCCTTTTTGTTGTTCGTTTCCCCTTAAAGTATCAAAAGAGGAAATACTGTTTGATTAGGAATTATTGAGCAAATGTAATGTTTGATTCAATATTTTAAGACCTAGTAATTACTTTTGACATTATCATGTAGCCTTACTTCTCAATATCACATTCTAACTTGTAAGCAATTACTTAATTATTTGTAGGCCCTGACACCTACGGAGATAAATTTGTTCCACTGAAACAGGTATTACTGTTTTCTTATTGATACTATTTCTCATATACATATTGGCTAGACTATCCATTGTTATCTTGTCACTTTGATTTCCATTTGATAAAGTTCTTAGGAACTTAGCTTATACTAAAGAGTAGGGGTGTAAACGAGCCGAGCCAAGCCGAGTCGAGCTCGAGTATTGCTGAGCTTGACTCGACTCGAAAATTCTGAAATGGAGCTCGACTCGAACTCGAAATCCTGAACTGAAGCTCGTAAGCAGCTCGAAATGAAAAACAAATTCTTAAACTTAACTAGATTGAAGCCTCGAATTCAAACTCGAACCTGAACTTTAAATACATGAAACCTTAACTGTATTTTTTTTAAAGAAATCAACACATAAATGTTAATATTATTAATAATTTATCTTAAAAAAAATAAAATCTTAATATATATTTTCGAGCTGCTCACGAGCTTTTCAAGTTGAGTATCAAGTAGCTCGTTTCAGCTCGTTAAGAAATTGAGTTGAGTCCATTCGATCCTAGTATTTATTGAGCCTTGACTGAGTCAATCTCGAGTAGCTCGTGATCTATCTCATCTCATTTATAGCCCAACTAAAGAGAAAATGATTATTATTTTTTTGGTGAACTTCTACCGTTTTCAATTGGAAATTTATTATTGAATGCTCGTGTTGATCATGCTTCTATTATTATTATTAAAACAGCTAAGATCCCTTCTAATTTTTAAGATATTATCTTAATTTAAGAACTGTTTCTGGATATAGTTACCTTGCTATAAACTCTTGGCTACATAATGCTTAGATGTTTTAGGAACAAAACTTGTTAAGGGTGCTTTTCTGTTGTAGTGCCTTGGTTTTTAGGGATTGCAGTTGGTCTTTCCTTCAGCATTCTTGATCATCAACTCCTTTATTCCTCTTCTTGTTAATCATCTGCACACTTTTATTCATTTGAAATTTTTTCCTCGGTCCTCTGAGCAAACCTGGAATGGATCTTCTTGGTTTAGGTGAAGAACTTCAGAGCTGATGAGCTGATGGAATTTTATAAGGTAAACCTTCATAAAGGTTATTTGTCATGCTTAACCATGAAGTTGCTTTATTAAGCAATCAGTATCTTGGTACTTCTGTCTGAAACTTCTGCTCTTGTTTCTCCTTGTCTTTAGATAGGATTTGAGTACATTTTTTTCACTGAAGGGTTATGCTAAATATGTTTTACTAACACTTAACAGTCAGATTTGAAGTTGAAGAAGTTCTTGCACATTATCGAGAATTCAAGTGTGTTCCCTGTCATTTATGACTGCAACAGGTATGGTTGCTCTTGGTAATGTTCATCTGATCATTAGTTTTAGCTTTTGCGATTAGCAACCAATTTCACATTGACTTAAAGCTGCTTAACCTTCTGCCAGTATTTACTTCTTTTCAAGTGTATATTTGTACTGTAAGTCTTGTTAGGTTTAAAAATACTGAAATACAGCTGCATGACCTCTCTGTTTTTCTTTTCTTTATACAGAACTGTTTTGTCTTTACCACCAATTATTAATGGTGCACACTCAGCAATTACTTTGAAGACAAAAAATGTCTTCATTGAGTGCACAGCAACTGATCTAACAAAGGCTAAAATTGTTTTAAATACAATGGTAAGGAATTGAGTGCTGTTAGCTTCTGTTCTCACTTTTATAAGTGGTGGTAGGAAATGAACATTTCTTTCTATCTACAGGTAACTACATTTGCTACCTATTGTGAAAGAAAATTTGAGGTTGAACCGGTTGAAGTGATATCATTTGATGGAAACTCAAGTGTTTATCCAGATTTATCAGAATACAATATGGAAGTTCCACTATCATATATTACTGGTTCCATTGGAGTTCCTCTGGAAGTAGATGAGGTAATGCTTTCATTTTCTTTTTGCCTCTTATTTCTTCATTATCTTTTATGTTATCCATGTAGTGAAAAATTGTTTAATGGAGTTCCACTCATGCTGGTCTGTTTTGATATTTCTATATGTTGTAAACTGGCATATTTGTCTGAGTTTGTTCACTTAACCGCCCACTTATATAAAGGCGAGAAAGAATATTGAGTGAGGTTACACTAGTCTGATGTGGTCATGGTCATAGTGTCTATTTGTTCTTTGTTTTGATGGCATCATTGGTGGTATTCTATTGCTGACACTGGTCAGTTGATATAATTTAATAACCATCATGTGGTAAACTATTCTTAATTTGTTCTTCCATTGTTGTCGCTAAACAGGTCACTAATCTATTAAAACGAATGCAATTGAATGCTGAAAAAGCTGCATCAGAAGTACACAGTATCAGTGTGTCTGTACCTCCAACCAGAAGTGACATCCTTCACCCATGTGATGTTATGGAGGTAATGATCAAAGGAATAGTATTTCATGGACACATTTTTGAGGGAGACGTTGGGTGGCTCCCTTGTGGGTTTCTGCTAATGAGGCTCTTTATTCTTTTGCAGGATGTTGCAATTGCTTATGGCTATAATAATATTCCAAAGAGAATGCTTTCATCTTTGAAGCCCCTTCCCTTGAACCATCTCAGTGATCTTATCAGATCTGAGGTTGCCTAAATAAACTGAAGTAGTTTTTTCGTCTGTAGATTTTCTTATTGTTATTTTTCTATTCCCTAATTGAGGTTCTTTTTAGATTGCAATGAGCGGTTTTACCGAGGTGTTGACATGGATTTTATGTTCTAAGAAAGAGAATTTTGAGATGTTAAATCGAAAGGATGACAAATCCACTGCAGTGATCATTGGAAACCCCCGCTCTTCTGATTTTGAGGTTTGTATTTTCATGTTAAATATATGTATAAGATCATTTCAACATTCCAGCTTTCTGGGTTCCTCGTTACTGTGTCTGCTAGATTTGTAATTCAAGACTGATTGAGAACTAGTATTAGCTTTTATGATTTTTCAACCTTAATTTTTTGTCTAGTCTTCTTGAAATATTGTACATGGCCTTATTGTGACAATCAATTTTATTTTGACTGGTCTTAAAAATTGAACAGCCAATCGAGGAGCCCATTATTGTTCTCTATAGATAAGTGATAAACATTTGGTTCATTTGAAGGATGAGGGGGGCCAGGCTGGGGGGGGGGGGAAGACAAAGAAATTAGAATCAGATGTTCTGTGTTTTTACTTGAGCCTTTTATCGGAACTCTTTCTAATTAAAGAACAATGAAGATTGCTTATTCTGTTTGCATAGGTGGTCCGCACAAGTCTCATGCCTGGCATGCTAAAAACTGTTGGCCATAACAAAGACCATCCAAAGCCCATTAAGGTACAATTTTGGTTTTGAATTGGTTCAGGCTGAAACAGTCACTGAATATAGTGTTATGAATTTACTTTTTTGAATTGTGACACCTCATCTGTTGTGTTCTTTCTCGTCCCTTCTAACTAGAAGTCCTTGGACTTCTATTCTGTTGGAAGCATTCTTTCTTTTGAAAGACTGAATGACTGATGTTGGTATATGGAGGGGGATATATTTGTGGATATTCTTGTGTTAGTTGAACCGTTGTTTCATTGACAGTATCAGTGTAATACATTCAATGTCTCCTCTTCTTATGCAGAAATGTTCCCGGCTGTTATTTTACTATTATTTTCCTGTTATTCTTATCAAGTTTTACCTCATTCGTCTTAATCCATGAGTGTATGATTACCCTGCTTTTATTTTGTACTCATTTTTGGAAACTCACATGGCCAGATTTATGAAGTGGGTGATGTGGTACTTTTGGATGAGAAGAAAGATGTTGGTGCGTCAAACCATCGCCTACTTGCTGCATTATATTGTGGTGCTAACTCGGTTTGAGGTAAAATTTCCTTATTACACCCTCTTGTTTTTGTTATTAGATGACTCCATGCATTGACTTATTGTAATCTTTAATTGTCGGTTCTTGTTTTTGTAAAGATTGAAAATGTTCTTATTTAGTTGGTTTTGTAATCTTTATTTAAATGATCACAATGAACTTCTGGTTGATTGTGCATTGTTTTTTAAAAGTTTGGTTTTATTATGTGTAGAAGATTTCACAAGTTTTTTTCTTTGTTATGTATGGAGAATGGATAGTCCAAAATAGGAAGATATATAGTTTTGGGAAGAATATGGTGTTCTGAGATCTATAAGTATTGTCCAATTATTTATTTGTTCCTTGTGCGTTGATGGAACTTGATGAAATAAGGGCTTATTGTCTACAGCTGATTCATAGTCTGGTGGACAAAATCATGGAAGTTATGGGGACTCCTTTTGTTCCAGTTGGTGATAAATCAGGATATTATATAGAGCTTTCTGATGTAAGTGTCCCGTTCTTTGTTTTCTATTTTTTGGTGCATCCGTGCATGAGAGAGGGAAAGCACAAATTCTCCAACCACTTTTACTCAAGCCGTACTTATGACATTTATGTTTACTGTAGGAACCTGAGTTTCTATCGGGTAGGCAAGCCAAAATCATTTACAAAGGAAGGCGCATTGGCATTTTTGGTATTGTGCACCCTGAGGTATTGTTCTCAATTTAAGAAACCTTTTTCCGCCACTCAATCCTATGAAAATTCTGTTATTTGACGTTCTTTCTTTAGCATTTTGAACCTAGTGACTGTTTTTGCTCTGTTTTGATCTCCTCCTTCCGTACAATTAAACAAATACTCTAAAACTGCATCAGCATCAAAATTGTATGACTTGAAATTTGAGTGTCTTGGTGGGTAGTATAATGGACGTAATGTATAAGCTTTTTTTTCTTGCGTGGCATCCAGGTCTTGAACAATTTTGATATTCCTGATCCCTGCTCCTTCGTGGAACTCGACATAGAGAATTTTTTGTAGAAGATGTGTCATAACAGCTGAAGCTAGTTTGTCACATCTCTGTCTTTTGTATGGTTGTTACGACTAAATATTACGGTTTATAATTACTCGTAATCAAGCTTCCGGTCCTTACATCTATCTTTTGCATTGCTTAATGAACAAACAGGTAGATCAGCAGCAGTTGTACTTTGCCAAGTGCCGACTTAGTAGTACTGTTGTTTTAGACTACACCATTGGAATACTTCATTGCTTAATGGTTTGCCTGAGAATCTGTTGTTCACTGCTGTACTTTCAGGAAGTTATGTTTTGATGACGCATTTTTATGAGAGATTATACTGGATTGTAATGTTAACAAAGTTTTGATTATTGAAATTTGTTTTTATTGGGGTGGTGATGTAAAGAACTGTTCACAAATGTTAATATCTGTCCATACAAATCTAATCTATGTTTTAATAAACAAGTGTGTTTGTAACACTTCGGATCATAGTTTCAGTATCTAAGAAGCACTTGTGTTTGTATTTTGATGTTGAATCCGACAATGTATCATTCATGCAGATGAACATAGAGAAGTACTCTTTTGGAGTTCGATGGATTTTACAATTACCAGAGTAATATGCAACAATGTGTTGCAGAATGTTCCGAATGTTTTATAGGTTAATCATTCCTCTGAATAACAAAAAGAAAGCATCTGCTAACAAGATAACAACAAACAAAATATATATATATATGTATATATGTATGCATATATTATTCTTACATAACCCAAAATCGAACATCAAAAGACGTATATCACGGGAAGAAACAAGTCAACAATGAGATTTGAAGACCCTTAATTGATGGGTTGCATAGGACTTGAACCAGCAGAAGAAAAACTTATCCCATCAGACCCAAGACGACTGGAACCAGTAGATTTCTGGCTGATACTGTACGGCGCGGTGTTTGATGCTCTGTGCGTAAAACCAGAAACATGTAAAGCTCAGAAAACCCGATATATATATATATATATATATATATATATATAAATCTTCTCAGTATTATCAAGTACCTTTCTTTACGCTTCTCTAAAAACCGAGCTAATGAAGCTTTTCGAGCTTGTGGCACTGCTACTACAGTAAATAAATATAAAATGAGACTCACAGAAAATGAGAGCAGAATACGATAGCTACTGGAGAAATCCTGTAGAAAAAAGTTTAATACCTGTGGGAATTCGAGTTGTCACACCAGATCCTACTGAATTAACTGATTTGGGAGGCTGAGGTTGGTTACTAGTAGATGCTAACACACCTGCTCTTGGGGCTGCTGTTAGGTCATTGGTGCTGCTTGATCGTCCACCGGGGTTTAAATTGACATGAGAGGTCACAGAAAGATGACTCGGAGGACCCGAGAAAGGCGACACGGTGCGGGAACTATTTCCGGAAAAAGCATCGGCGGTACACGGTCGTGAAACATGTGTTAGCGCTTGAGTCATGGGAGCGGTTTTACTCTGAGCAGCGGAAGAACCGTTTCCAGCCAATAACATAATAGCTTGAGCCTGGATATGCAAGTAAAGAACCATGTACCACCCAAAGTTAATGGTGTAAAGAAGTTAAACAAACATGCTCAAGCAATAAGATTACCTTCTCAGGAGGCACGTCATCGTAAACGCACACGGATCCAGCATAAAAGATAGTCAATTGAGATGGTGCCGCGGAAGATTTTGCAGCAGTCCTACAGAAGGAATCCAACCGGAAATTTAGGCTATAATCTTTATCATATGCAATTGAGATTCAATAAGATGACTTGATATTCAAGTTTAGATACCTAATTTCAGTAGTAACGATAACAGAACTGGATGGAGGAACAACAGATACAGGGGGAGCCTTGATTGGAACTCCCGCAAAAGGTTGCAGCTTTACAGTTTGACCAACTATATTCTGTCCGATTGAAGCAAGACGGGGCTGGAGAAGAGGAGTGCTCATAGGAACTGTAATAGTTTGATTTGGCTGGCTGGAGACTTGAAATATCCTCGCAGCGCCATACGAATCGGCAGTCTGTATAGCCATAAATCCGGTCGACGGCGGAGGTTCATAAGCAGCCTTCCTCGGCCTATCTTCTTGAGCAGCTTTGAAAGATAGGAACTGAGGAAGGGTAGGTGCCTTGTTTGAGAAAGACAACTGCATCCCAAAAGAATACTGCAGAACCAAATGAAAATAGATATATTACCTCCAAACTTATAAATATGCAGGCAACAGCTACCTTGGGTTCAACAAGATCAAATGCAACGTGCATTCTTGACTGGTAAATTTATATAATAAGGTCAAACCATATATGCTACATCACTAATAATTAAACACAAATATGCTATAAGTTCATACATCACTAATAATTATATTAAAACAAAATCCGTATATGAAGCCAAAATCCCCATACATGATGATATCATGAGGAATCTAATTCATGCTCTTTCTTTTTGGTTATAAAAACCCCATTTGTCAGGTCATCTATGGCATTGGAATAAATTAGTCATTCACATTGTAAATAAATGTTTTATTTAATGAGATTTCCCATTTAAAAAAACCCAGATCACATGTCCTTACAGGTAGGCACTGCTTTTCAAATTGCCACATTGATGAAAAATAAAGTTTAAGTTCTTGATAAGAACAATATTAAATCACATGGGTATCCATCCATGTTATTTTTATTAACACGCAACCATGTATCAGCTTATATTTATCTGTCCTTTCCCAACTCCAATTTAAGATTTTATCTTAAAAAATCAAATATTGATATTATAAATAAAAAATTTAAATTAAAAGGATTATTTCCATAATAAATCTTCATAATATCCATAAATTAGAACCAAATATGTATAATTAATATTTTTTTTTTAAAATATCAATCAGCACTTGAAGTAATACCTATCAAAGATCATTATTATTTCTTTGGATAAATTACACGTTTAATATCTAAACTATTAGTTTTGATCTGTTTTAGCACTTAAAATTTAACAATATCTCAAGTTTAGCTTTTGTTTCACTTTAGTAACCCATTCAAAATTTAAAGTTAAGTTTGAAAAAAAATTAGAAATATAAGTATTAAAACGGACCAAAACTGATAGTTTTAATACTAAACGTGTTAAGTTTTTAATGACAGATACTAAAATAAAACAACGTTGAGTATGATTTTAAAAAATAAAAAATTTAAATACTAAAATGAATAAAAATGATAGTTTAGATATTAAATTCACAATTTACCTATTTCTTTTTCTTAATATTGGCTGCTCTTAAAATAACACACAGTGGAAACTAAGAATCTCACGCACATCGTCAACTTTATTAAAAATATCATAAGGTTGATGTAAAGTAATTGTACCTTGTGCTTATAAATATTGTACCCCAGACTCGTTTTTTTTTGTTAGTATTTATACGCATTTAAAGGAGGAGGACGTTTTGCTCGTGGTTTCTCTTATTGGAGGAAAACTTCCCGGGTTCCCCACGTTTGGTTACCGAGAAAATTGAGCAACTCGAGATGCGCATTAAAGCATATTTCATCAAGGCTCTAAACTGTACTTGGCGTCCTATTGAAATTTTATAAATGCCAAGCAAGATGACTTGGGCCTTGATTTTAGATACTCAAGTGCCACACAACATTATTATGTATTTCCCTAATTTTACGTATACAAATAAATTATTTTCTCTACCAAGTACTAATCAATGGTTTAATTCAATGATTCTTTCATGTATAAGCAAAGAACTGAAACTTCAACTGACAAACATGGAAATGGAGATCCAAGAAAAAATAGTCAAAACCCCAGAATTATTTTCTCTCGTTTTTGGAGTAAAATCTGAGAACCACGTAGAAAAACAGGCGGTAGAGAACTCCCCATGCAAGCAAGATAAGAATATCATACCAAAGGTTCTCCAAGTTAATTCCCATGGATGATATAACATCCTCTCCGATCATTGTGCATTGCAGGGTATCATTGTGTTGGATATGGAAGTCACTGATCGTCAGCTGCCCTAAAGGTCCCGGAGAAAGATCGGCCGGGTCTCCCGTGTAGCAGATTTCCTGGTCTTTGAACTCATTCACCAGCAAGGCCTCGAACGGGTATTTGATTGCCGATATGTAGTGGAGCCACCTCCAATAGATGGGTATCTTGTTCCCTTTGAGGAAGAATCCACATGTGAGGAAGAAGAGAGCCGTGGTGGCGATCACGACGGCGTAGCCGGTGATGTAACTCGGGACGAGTGCGCTCACGAGCATCACGTAAGCGTTGGTTGTTATCAGAGATGCGTAAAGGATAAGCCAGAAGTTTAAGAGGCTGCTGTTGAGGTGAAGCCAGCTTGGTGATTGCAGCGAATGTAAAGCCTTGGATGGCGAAAAACGGGAGGTAGACGATGAGGGAGGATATGACATAGGATGAAGCTCGATACGCGTTGTGGGAGGTTTCTCTGATGAAGATGAACCTTTCTTGTATGAACGTCGGGACGGCGTCGTTGGAGGAGAAGAACACCAAGCATATTGCGAAGATGTAGAAATTGAGAAGCCTGTTGATTGTTTTGAAATCATAGTGGCTCAAGTTTCGGAAGAGTGAGGATAAGATGATTGCCATGATTGTCAATACTATCTCTCGTGAAAGGAAAAGTTCCGGGGTTCGGGCCACGATGAGAAGGGTGCGCCACGACAGGATTGCAACCTCTCTGAGCCATGGGTTGGCGAACTTGGGTCCATGATCTGGCTCATCCAGCACTTCTTCCATGTCGAACTCGTATGAAGGTGCATACTGGTCTATCGATGGGCTAAAAACAACCGGGGTCTTGTGGTGAGAAGGAGGTGTTCGATTTTGTTGAGCCATTTGATGTCGGCCTGAAAGAAAACTCCTTGCACCAGAACTAGGCGTTTGACCGGGAGTTTGAGCTGGAGTCCAGGATGGTGCACGGCGAGGTGTTCCGGTGACACCGCGGTACACCCAGACAGAGAAATCTTTGTAGAACTGAGAGGCCAAGCGTGGCTGATATGCACTACTCTGCATACTCAATGGAGTCTGGGCCGGGAACCGGGACGATTTACGCTCCAGAGAGTAGTCGAAGTCTTCATCGTCATCTTCGTCTTCATCGTTGTAATCAAATCGGCCCGATTCTGATCGAGAAGCTCCATTGGCAGTAGAGAAAGCATGGCTATGAAGGCTAATAGCATGCCTCGAAACAGGTGTTTTCACGAAAGAGTTCTTTGGTATTCTCGGAGTTCTCGGAACCGGAGTCCTCGCAGCTTGATCAGGCTTGATACCATCACGTTGGTATAACACAAGAGGGTCGAGTCCTACAGTCGATTCATCGTACTCCTTGATAACATCAAGGAGATATTCAAGGCTGTTCTCGCCATCGGGAACCGGCCTTCCGAACCCAGAAAGGTGAGCCGGCAGAGTGCTCGGGCTTCCCGTATATATTAGTCTACCCCTGTAACATTTCATGCATGTACATATAGCTTAATTCAACAACTAGCCATAAATTTTATACGATGAGGAGCTATTGATGTGTTAAGTACTTTTGTACCTTGCTAAGACTGTTATACGGTCCAAGAGCAACTGAATTCTGTAGGAAGGTTGATGAATGGTCATGAGGACGATGCTACCACCACGAGCTATGTCCTTCACCTTCTCCACCACACTGTAAGCGCTCGTCGAGTCGAGACCCGACGTCGGTTCATCAAGGAACAACAGAGATGGCTTATGAATGATGTCAATGCCGATTGACACCCTTCGCCTCTCTCCTCCGGAAACCCCTCTCCTTCCTTCATCCCCAATATACGTATGTGCCGCAGTCTGTATATAGACAGAACCATAAATATATCATTTAATCTGTCGTTTTAAATTCCATCATACTATCTGTAATTAAGGCTAAAGGGCACACCTCTAAGCCGAGCTGTTTAAGCAACTCATCGACTCGATTTTTCTTTTCCTCCATGGAAATTGAGGGAGGCAGCCTTACTTCTGCTGCAAACATGAAGGTTTCTTGAACCGTCAACATGGAGAACAACTGGTCATCTTGCATTACATATGACGAAATCATTTTCATGTAGCTCGTAGTCACCTGAACCAAAGCATAACTAAAGAGTGAGCCAAGTTACTAAGATAATATATGTATGTGTGTGTGTGCGTACTGACCGGCTTTCCATTGATTCGAACAGACCCTTCGAGACTCCCACGAGCAATCCGACCAGCAAGGGCATCGAGAAACGTGGATTTCCCAGCACCACTAGGCCCCATGATGGCCATGATTTCGCCCCTCACGGCCTGGCCCGATATATCATTCAGAAGATAAACATCTTTCTTCACCCATTCACCATCTTTCTTTTGCTTCTTGGTGACACTGTAGGACAAGTTACTGAACTCAAACCCCTGACCGGGAATCATCTTCCTCGCCGGCACAGGTGGCACGCCGATATTCTTTCCAGCTGCGGCAGTTTTGTCCATGTCTAGGAGAGTCTCGAGGCTTTTATTCGCCGCATATTTCCCCGCCCTCGCCATTGGAAAATCAGTTTAAGCAGGCAGGCCCTGAAGTTTTAAGAGCTTGGCGTGGAGTGATGTGTAGGGGTTATAAAGAAGATAAAAGTGAAGTTGCAGACAAAAATGGTGAGGTTGGAGGGTTCAGCCGGCCATGAGGAATGTATATGAGAGATTGCAGACGAAGAAGACAAACGAAGAAATGATCGGTAAGACGAATTTTCTCTCTGTTTTTTCTCCTTTGGGTTTGTCGTTGATTTGCATTGGCATTACCGGAAAGCTGCTAAAGCTTGGTTCCATTTAGCACATGAGACAAATCGTACTTATAATTTTTGTGATTAATTTATAATTTTTAGGGTAAATGACCATATAACTATAGGGTGAGTTGCCAAATGACCATCATTTTTTAATTTACGTTAATATGATCATTGAACTATTTAAATTTTTTTAATATAGTCACTTATCGTTAACACTTAAATAATCGGCGATCCAACCAATAGTTATATGATCATCTATGTAGTTTATCCTAATTTTAATAATCGAAAGACTCAATAAAGTATCCAAAGATAATTTTATAATTTTTTAATAGTTAAGTAACTTAATTAGGGATGGCAAACGGGCGGGTCGGGTGCGGATACCCCCTCCCCATCCCCATACCCACCTAATATTTTTCAATCCACCACCCGCCCACCACCCATGATGGGTACAAATTTTCAAATCCACACCCGCCCACACGGGTACATTTTCAAATCCATCCCCACACCCACTACCCACTAACGACATACCCATCTAGACCCGTCTGACAGCAAACTAATGGGATGTTGGAGTTGGTTCCCAGACAGTTCGTGATGGGGTAGCAGCGCAAGCTTCAATTTGTTAGAGGAGTAGCTCTACGAATGTTATGGAGACAGATTGTAGGGAGCATGTAGTCGCAGAGCTGGATTGTTGTGTTGCTTTCGATGTTAATGCTCATAGTGCGCCTAATATGGATTTTGAGGGGCTAAAGAACATAGAAACTGATGCTTTTGATGTTAATGCTTATAGTACGGCTAATTTGTGTTTGGATGGGCAGCATGGGCTAAAGAACATGGAAAGTGACGTGGTTAGTGGGATTATGGGTTTAATCAAAGAGTCGAATATTTTCCTAATTAAAGACCAGATTAAAGACTAAATATCCTTAATATTTCGATAAATTATATGTTATATATTATACAATATTAAAATTTATAAATTAGTCTCTAAAATTACACCTAAATTCATAATGGTCCAAAATTTAATAGATATTTAGCTGGGTGGGCGGATGTGGGGCGGGCAGATGCGGGGCGGGTAATGTCTCAAACCCATTACCCGCCCACCACCCACGACGGGTACCACTTTATAAATCCACACCCGCCCACTACTCGCTTAAATTATACCCATCCCCGCTTCAATTGGAGCGGATACGGTGCGGAATCCACGAAACTGTACCCGTTTGCCATCCCTAGACTTAATATATTATTATTCTATAGTCAATGGACCATTTATGTACCTTACCCATTAAATTATTATATGATATTCGGGAGCAGTTATAATAAGTATTGGGTAGATTACACCCTTCCTCACTATATTATACTCTCTCTCCTATTTTTCTCACCCAACTTTCAATTTTTCTATTTCGCTTACTGAACTTTACAGATTGAATCATTTTGTTCACTGTGCCATTAACTTTTTAAAGGTGTTATGACGTGGCACATGAATAAAAATGACGCGTTTTGAAAAACTCAAATATACTCTAAAATGATGTCATTTTGGTGAGTAAAATATGAGATATATTAAAGTTTAATGACTCATGGTGTAATTTACCCTTTTCCTTCTCTTCTCTATTTTCTCTCCGCTGCCCACACGTCATTTTTCATTCCGACCACCATCAGCTGCCATAGATGGCGGTCGTTTGGTCCCAAAATGGGATGGGTCAGTTCGTCTCGACCCCCTGAGTCCAGATCTGGTGGTTGTTTCACGGAAAATGTCCCAAAACCTGTGAATTTGGACTGAAATGTTTCGATTTCCTTCCTTTCAATCTCAAATTTGTGGACTTCAGAGCAACTTCCAACAAAATGGAGGTCGGATTCAAACTCACGACGTCGAGGCGAAGCGACCCATCCTATTTTGGGACCAAACGACCACCATCTACGGCGGTCAACGATGACCAGCAATGACATCAAACCACCTTCTATTTTTATTTTATTTTTATTTTATTTTAAATAATAATAAAAAATGCCACATCAGCAGTCGTTAGAGAGAAAACGGAGAGTGAGTAAAATGGTTCAATTTGTAAAGTTTAGTGAGCAAAATAAAAAAAATTAAAAGTTGAGTAATGAAAATAGGAGAGAGAGTATAATACAGTTAGGAACGATGTAATTTACCCATAAGTATTTTATTCTTATAATACTATTTTTGTAATGTGTTCGTTTTTTTTGAGATATTTCTTAAAAACATTAAAAATAAGAAGATAAAATCTTGAATATTTTACAATACTATTATTTAAAAAATACAATAATTAATTATTAGGATTTTGATCGATCTTAATAAATTAAGATATTATTAAATATTTTATTAATCTTTTATGCACATAATATATGTTTTTTAGTAAGAAAGCTTTTTTAGTTAGAGAAAATAACCTCAGCGACAAAAAATCCCATATAATATACGATTTTAACCAATTTTTTCCGGATTTGCCAAAATGACCAACAAAATCACAATGCGATCGCTAATTCGCAACGCGATCTCCATTATCGTAAATCAGTTTCCAGATTCGCAACGCGATTATTACTATCGCAATGCGATTTTCCAATTTTGCGTTGCGATTTTCCCAATTCGCAATGCGAATAAGTAAATCGCAATGCGAATTTGGAAAATCGTAATGCGATACTGACTATCGCAACGCGATAATACAAAATCGCAATGCGAATTTGGAAAATCGTAATGCGATACTGACTATCGCAACGCGATAATACAAAATCGCAATGCGATACTAACTATCGCAACGCGATAATACAAAATCGCAACGCGATACTGACTTTCGCAACGCGATACTGACTTTCGCAACGCGATTCTGACTTTCGCAACGAGATTCTGACTATCGCAACGAGATAATACAGAATCGCAATGCGATTTTCAAAGTTCGCAACAGGTTTTAGTTTCGCAACACAAATTTTTTGTGTATATACCTACGCAGCAGCAACAACTCATAACCTAAATCCCTAAATCGCAACTCATCCATCTCCATCTATCACTCTCTCCGGCGACGTTCCTATATCCAACGACATCCTTCCCCCGGCAAACATGTCTTAGTTTCGCAGCTCGTTTGTTTAGTAAATTAATTTACAACCATGAAATCTCTAATGTTGATCATGTTTGGATAAATTTGTGTTTGGAGGGTCATGGGAGAATGTTCATGGTTTACAATATATGCCTTTACCATGAATCTTCAACTAAAACTGTCATTAAAAAAGTTAACTTATGAAACTCTAATGTTACGTGTTTCAAAGAAATTGAATTAGAGCCCCTAAGTGGATTTAGGCTATCTTATCAGAGAAATGGTAAAGTTTATTTTTAACCGACAATGAAGATGTTGAACAATTCATTGCTTACATTAGTGTTTCAAGTGATGATGTTACATTGTATGTTGTTGAACCTAGAGTATTGTTGGGTCAGTAGCGGGTAGTAATCAACTAAGTTTTCTCAAAACCCACAACCTTTCTCTAATCCAAATCCCAATCAACTTTCAGCACCAAATTTCGGTTTTCGTATTGACCAATTAGACGATGATGAGCCAACAGAAAAAATTGTGAGTACTAGTCAGTATTCGAAATTTGATCTTGGTCAATACCCGGACTTTGATATTGGTCAATACTCGGATTTTGATGATGTTTCAGAAGAAGAAACAAACCCTGCGGTAATGATTTTGATATTGGTCAATACCCGAATTTGATGATGAAACAGCCGTTGCCGAGGAAGATGTTGTTGATGATAATGAGGAGGAAGTTACGACTGTGAATGAACATGTTGAACATCCATTCTGTAATTCATATAATCCTGAAGAAGAAAAAGAAGAAGAAAAATTCCCCGAAGAAAAGAAAATGCCATTGGAGTATAACTAGAATATGCCAGAATTACTTCAGCTACCAGAAGAAGAGTTGGTAAAGAAAGCAGTTGATTGTTACACAAAAGTTATTCGTATCAAGAAAGATGATTGTTTTGATACAAAGGAAGACTTGAAGATAGCTTTGTATACGAAATGTGTGGAAGATGGCTATCAACTAAAAGTTAACAAATCAAGTAAAGATCGTTTCGAAAAAGGTGTATTGACAAAAACTGTACGTGGCGTATGATTGCAAAGAGGATAAAAGATTACGAAATGTTTCAAGTTAGGACTTTATTGATAAACATACGTTCAGAACCCAAGTTTTTCCTCACCATAGACATGCAAAAAAATGTGTTGGGTGGTTTTCTGGCTGAGTTAATGTTTTTGAATGGCAGGTATATCGGGGACATGAAATTATGACTGACATGAATACTCGGTTCAAGATTAGTATATCATATTCTCAAGCTTGGAGAGCAAAATGTTATGCCTTGGAATGTTGAGGGGGTCGCCAGAAGCATCGTTTGCCCAACTGCCGGCTTATTGTCACAATTTAAAGCTGAAAAAATCCTGGGTCGGTAACTCATATCAAAACAGATAGAGATGGACGCTTTGAGTGCTGTTTATCGCCATTGGTGCTACAGTTAGTAAATCAATATAATTCTGTTGACTCATTTTTGTTAGTTACATGCATTTCACATTTAAATGATTATATTTCTGTGTATATATTTTGTAGATTCGTTCGTTTATTACTTGCATGTGCCCAGTTTTATTTACGGAGCACATTAAAAGGTCGATACCTTGGAGTAAACTTATAGCAGTAGCCATGGATACTAACAATGGGATATTGCCAATAGCTTACGGGGTTGGCAAATCTGAAACCTCTGATTCATGGACATGGTTT